CAATATTGGCATCCCAAAGACATTCAAAATACTCAAGGAACTATCCAAAATTTGGATCTTGAGTTGTTAAGTTTAAAGAAAGATCCCTTGAAATTCTATGTTCCTTAATATTCTTCAATATAAAAAAATATTTTACCAAGTAATTTTTGAAAAATCAAAACCAAAACACTATGAGATTAAATAATATATATTTATCCTATTTAATTGCTTAACTTGCAATTGTGACGTTACCTTTACTTGTGTTGAATTATGTCAAGTTTCTTTTTTAATTAAAGATTGAGATGAATTTAATAAACCTTCTTGTAAAAGAAAAAGAGTATAATCAATATCAAGATATATGTGCATGTTGCTGATTATTATTAAAAAAAAAAGAGTAAAAGTATATATCAATATTAATATATAAATACATAATTTTTTTTAGCTTTAAATGGAGCCATTTGAAATTTTTCTATTATGTCATAAATTTCATAGTTAGAATATTTGATTGTTGAGAGAAGTCTTCTTGTATTTGATGGTGCATCTTCATCCTTTTCCATTCATCCATTTTTTTTTTTTTTGGGTTTTCCTTGAAGCCTACAGTTGGAGGTGGAAGCAAATCTACTTCCTCCAAAGTATTTGGATTAGGTGAAGGAAAATCCAAACTAGAATAAGTGTTGGTGTATCTAAAATCATCTAACTTTCTCTCTTCTCACCTTTTCCTTCATTCATGGGGATATATAGTCCATTCTCAATAGCATTCCATGTGACTATATCAATTATTTCAATAAAAATTTTCATTCTTATTTTTTAATACACATAATTTTCATTATTGAAAGCATGAGGTCTGGGTATTGAAACTCCTTCACTATATGGTAAATTATTCTTAGCCATTTTAAAGAAACTTAATTAATTTTCAAGGACCTTGTTCTAAATACCGCATTTTTAGAAATTATGGCTTATCCAAGACGGGGTGAACTAGATATTAAAAATTCTTTTAAAAACATCTTGGATTAAAAACTTTTCTAGGAGCTCCCAATGAAGTATATTGACATATAGTTGTATATATGACATGGTGTTGAGATTATCTTATACATGCAATATCAAATTCAATTAATCCTATATGCGGTGTTCATGTATCATGTCATACATCATTAAGCATATAATCAGATTTGCAAGAATGTAAAGACAAATATATGGATAGAGAAAAATACACTGCATATTTATATTGGTTCAACCACATCCACTTGTGACCTACATCTAGTCCTTAATCAATTCGATTGAGATTTTTCACTAATCTATAATGTCACAAGTTTTACAATCATAATACATCACACAATACACTTCCACATAATTAAAGAAATCACTTGTACCCCCAAGAAGCACTATATTGTAGCACCCCACTACAAGATTTCATTTTTCTAAGAAACCTACTTAAGAAAACTAGTTACAAAGATTAAAAAATGAATTCACTTGATGTACAGAATATTTTAAAGTAGGTGAATCAAACAATTGTAGCTTAGCCTATATCTTCATGAAGATGACAATGATCAATTTAATTCTTAAATTCTTTCTTGAGATTCCCACAAAGGGTATCAAGCCTGTGACACCCTCTACCCCACATACATAATTATACAATAAATAGAGATAAATAAAAACCTTCATAAATAAAATCTGAGTCTCTAACCACATAAGGGTAAAGAGCTCAAATTCATAAAACATAAATCATAGTCTAATGTGGAAATTACAAAAGGATAAAATTAAGGTCTTCTAATCAATTTAACAAAAGTAGCATCCTAAGTTAATCCTAACTACGTCCCAATGTCACATATCCTATCAGAGCATGCCCAATTGAAGCCTAATCTTCATCACCAACATCCTCATGTTGATGGTCCTTTGCAACACAGTAGAAGACACACATAAAACAAATAGGGGAGTGAGAAACATGTCACTCAAGTTAAGGTGTAAAAATAACGGTCAGGCAGCACACACACAAATCATAACAAAGCACATCACAAAATACACGTTAATCAAGCACAAATCAAGTCATACATACATTAGTAGCACATACATAGTCACTCATTATGCAATGATGTCATGGACTCAACTCACAAATGCATGCATGTAGCGCCAGTCATATATCACATGGTGCATTGTCGCTAGCAATACACGTAGAGTATTCTAGGAGTACATGCTGGGTCACACCCTCTGCGCACTCTCACTAGAAGGACATACTATCAGGGTCTAGTCGGGATAGCTAAGCTGCGCGAGATACATCCCATGCACACAATGGACGAGACTAGGACTTACAAACTGAGCTATTCCCAAGGACTAATTCCCAAGCTTTTACACAAGGGGGCCTTCCCTGGTGGTGTATTCCATATCGTACCCTTAAAAAATTTATGAACATGATGCATGTCACACATTCACACTTCATTGACTCATCATTTCACTTGTCATAGTTTCTCATATATCATGTCTCATTATCACATATCATCATGTCTCGTGTCTCATTCACTTTTCACATTGTCTCATACAAGGAACTTCTCGTAGTCATATACATCAAAATAGTACATAAATTATACCAAGAAATTATCCAAAACATGAAGCCATCATCAATTTTACATATAATGCCTCAAAATCATCCAAAGATCATATTCCTAATTTTACTTCATAGGGTTTCCCACGGAAACCCACAGAGCACTCTAATTCATATCAAAACTTATCTAATTTTGAAATCAAACACATATTTACACTTAATATCACACAAGAAACGCAACAGGACATTCAGAGGGCAAAACAGAAAACTTTCATATTTTGCCTGTTCCTAGAAGCATGCACCAGGCAAGGGATTGGGCTCAATCCTGCTACCCAACAATTATTTCCACACTCCCGAGCGAGGTTTCTCACTCCCCCTTACCTGGATAAGCAGAAGATGAAGCTACAGTAGAATTTGGTTGATCTCCTTCTCTTGGTTTTCCTTGGTCTTCGGAGAGTGTATCCAGAAGTAGTGTCAAAGTCTGCTATTTATAGATGTCAGAAGAGGCCAGAACGGCCCATTTCAGATCCGGAATGGCCCATTTTGGATCTTTTCATCATGTATTAAATTCGCATATGGAACGGCCCGTTCTTAAACTAGAATGGCCCGTTTTGGAGTTGAGTTTAACTCATAACGGCCATGTTTGGAACTGCCCGTTCTTAAACCAGAACGGTCCGTTCCCAACTAGAGTTTATAAACTTTTTTAATAATTTGGTAGCCCATTCTGGGCTACTAAATCACCTTTGTTTGGGCTTTGAGCCTTCATATAATTTGTGAAAATCAGGGCGTTACAAAACCTCTTTTTGCAAAGAGAAACATTTTTCAGAGAGTATTTTCAAAAGTAATATCACAAATATTCAAGTTCTTTGAGTTTTGAATGTGAAAAATGATATATAGAGTATTCTAACAAAAATAATCGATTATTTCCGTGTATAATCGGTTATTTTGTTCTTCGTAGATCTAAAAATCAACCAAGAACAATTTAATCGATTATTTTGAGCAATAATCGATTATTCCAAAAAGTTGTTTCTAAAATAATTAATTATTTTACTGAATAATCAATTATTACAACAATGTTTCTCAGGTTACTCAAAAAATAGAACAAATAATTGACTATTACTATAGATAATCGATTATTTTAAGTAAAAACTTAATATATCTATTTTTCATGCCAAACCTCTTTTCAAATCATTTTTAAAACTTCTTTTCATCATTAAACATCATCTAGATAGAGATTTAAACCTAAGTTACCAATAAAGCACAAAGCACACATGCAACAAAGTATAAACACATAACAAGATGCAATTTGAACCCTTATCATTCAGAGACTTTTATTTGTAGTCATCAAAACTAAATACATTATGTCTTCATCTTGAATTTAATCAATGCCTAAGCCACTTACTTGTAACAATGGTATATGTTCTGTTCTTTTATTCATTTTTAAGGTGTAGTTAAGGAAATTGGTATGAAATGGATAACCTTTCATGATTGGTATGTTACTCTTAATGTACAGGATAAATTATGTCCTTGTAAATTTTATTTTTTAAAACTCAAAAATTGAAATATACACCTTCACTATGCACTATCATGTTTGTGAAGATAAAAACATTTTCCTGCAATTTTTGGAACATTTTAAGAACTAAAGTAGGATAACTTTTGTTAGATTTTCTCATTTTGGAATAATATTTTTTGAAATAAAGGTGTATGGCAGGAATATTTTTCTACCTCGTGCAAACACTTGTTATTGTCCCATAGTTGTATAGTATATGGTAGTTTCATCATTCTATGTATTACAATTGGTGGACCCACATTTTGTTTTAAAGCAAGAAGGTGTTATTCCCATTTGTTAGTTGAATTGACCAAGAGAGATGTCAGATTAGATTGGTGAAAATGGTTGTGGTCATAGAGCTTCCTTGTATGCATATGGGACATGAAGCCTTTCGTGAATTTATAAGCATTGCAAAGCCAAAATTTAGTCCTATCTCACGCGTTTTGTTTCTATGCAATATAAAAAAAAACAAATTAAATAACTTTCTTTCTCAACATTGTAAAAGTGTGTGCCTCACCACTGATTCATGGACTTCTTGTCAAAATGTGAGTTATAAGTGTATAAATACTCACTTTGTAGACAATAATTGTGTTGGTCTCGGGTAGAACACGAATCTAGAAGGGTGGATTGAATAAATTCTTCGCTTAGATGACTTCTAATGATCTTTCTTGCTCTCTTACTTATTTCACTACTACAAAAATATTAATCTACATTACTATTTCTATATTGGTTAACAAAAAAATGATGTAAAAATAAGGTACGGTGGCATTATTGTAATTAATTGAATAATATAAAGCATATTTACATCGATTTTGAGTGGAATCGATGTAAATATTAAATGTTCTATATCGAGTTTAAGAAAAATCGACGTAGTATTAAAAGTACGGTGATATTTTTGTAAATAAGCCTAAAACATAAAGAAATCTACGTGGGTACACTAAGTGACCGATGTAATATTGACAAGCATTCCTCCTACCCCGTGCGCGGGCATAAGCCCTTTCCCCTGAATCCTTTGGTTCGTGCAAGCATCATCTAGAAGCGTCTTTCCCTCAGAGAAGCCCTTTCCCCTGAATCCTTTTGTTTCGTGCAAGCATCATCTAGAAGCGTCTTTCCCTCAGAGAAGCCCTTTCCCCTGAATCCTTTTGTTTCGTGCAAGCATCATCTAGAAGCGTCTTTCCCTCAGAGAAGCCCTTTCCCCTGAATCCTTTTGTTTCGTGCAAGCATCATCTAGAAGCGTCTTTCCCTCAGAGAAGCCCTTTCCCCTGAATCCTTTTGTTTCGTGCAAGCATCATCTAGAAGCGTCTTTCCCTCAGAGAAGCCCTTTCCCCTGAATCCTTTTGTTTCGTGCAAGCATCATCTAGAAGCGTCTTTCCCTCAGAGAAGCCCTTTCCCCTGAATCCTTTTGTTTCGTGCAAGCATCATCTAGAAGCGTCTTTCCCTCAGAGAAGCATTCGTTTGGTTATTCTTTTGTTTCGTGCAAGGCCTTTCCCTCGAAGAAGCGTCTTTCGAAGCATCGGAAACCTCATTGTCTTGCTTTCGAATAGCATGTTTGTCTCATCGTAACTTTGTAATGAATGTTTAGGGTTTAATGTATAATTTCATTTCGTTTTCAATCTGTGGATTTTTTTATTGATAATCTATTTACGGGCTCAGTGGTATATATTTACTGAGCCATAGACACCAGCGGAATATATAGAAAAAGTTTAATTTTATTTATTTATGGTCTCATGGTTTATTTTTTCCTTAGGATTATGAAGCAAGACTCTTTGTTCTTAAGAATGAACGCGGAAGAATCATTTAATCTGCTGAGGAGGCGGTAGATTTTCAGAAGAAAACATTTGCATTGAATCATTTCCTCTCAAAGCTATCACAATCTAATCACAGCTCTACATATCTGATATTAGTCTTGAAGAATTGAAGAAAAGAAAATGAAATTTGTACTTTCATAATTTGGTGAGTCTCGAGATTTATTCCCTTCCATATCTATACACTTATTATGCTTTGTAGTTATTAAATTACCGTAACTAAATCAAGTTAGATTCAATTTGTCTTTTGATACAAACAATGATTGTCTTTCATAACAGGGTACGTTTTTGACTTGTAACTGTCAGTTGCTTTTTTTTTTAAAATCATTTTATACCATAATACTGTACTTCTAGTCTTTGGTAAATAATTATAGCTTGTTTGATGTTGTTGTATTTATTTAAAGAAACTTTTTTTTAAACAGGTTCGTTTGAGTAGAATTTTTTGAATCAACACAGTGCAGCAGGATATAACATCTACATCACTTTAGTGTTGAGGTGGCCCGTGAAATGGTTTGATTCGCATCATAGTCCAAGGTTCATTTTTCTTGCAGTATTAACTAATTTGAGATGGATAAGAGGATGGGAAAATAATAGTTATATTTCTTCTTTTATAAACTTTTCTTCTCCGGTCTGTGACAAGGAAAAAAATGTTAAATTTAAATGACTTACCTTACATTTGTCCTCCTAGCTACCTTCTCATTTCTTTTTTATCTAAATAAATATACAATGTTAGCATTACGTTGAAGTGAACTGAAGTATCTAAATTTTTTAAAATGTTTCAATTAATATAACATGAAACATTTGCGTGTAATTTTGAACATTCAATGCTTGTTATTTTAGTTCTATATACCAAGGGTGAAATCTTAGTGTTGGAGTAGAAAAGATCAGCACCTTTGGGTGTTGATACATTTTGTTGACATGAAAGTTTGAAAATTTATTGTTTTCTTATATAATATATCCTAAGATTCTATAATTATTATAGGCTACACTACCTGGATTTTCATCCAAGGGGCTATCCATTGAAGAAGGGGAATCACTACTAGAAAGGAGTGTCAAATTGGCAGTTGAAGCCTGTGATAGTTTCTGGAATTCAGTCAAAAGAAATCCTGGGAATAGATATAGAAGAGCTTTGGTTGCAGCCTCCATTGGAAGCTATGGAGCTTACCTTGCTGATGGCTCAGAATACAGGTGCTTCAACACCCTTTAAAATTTAATAGTTTGGTTCTTATCTGTCCTGCAGAGAAACTACTGTATGTTTTCAGTATGTTTGCGTAATTCATTCATATTGATTTCTTCTTGTAGTGGTTGCTATGGGCCAGATGTTAATTTAAAGAAGTTGAAGGATTTTTATCACGGCAGATTGCAAGTTCTCGTTGAAGCTCAGGTGTTTTTATTTTTTTGTTTGCTTTTTTCTTTTTCCAATAAGCATGTTTCATAGAAGTATACCTTGATGTAATTGCTTAAATTAAAATGACTGCAATATATTTACAGCACAAAATTATAATTCTTCTACTCTGTTGTTCATCCACTTCTGTCACGTTTCTATAATTACATTTTGTATTTTAAAATCAAACTTCTGTTGATATGTGCAAGGGCAAGCACTGCAAATATTTAAAAGAACATAATTTAAATGCAAAAGCAACCTCATGGCTTTTGCTTCAAGCAGGTAATATTTTTATCAGTTAAAGCAAAAAACTGAATACTCACTACATAAGGGACAGGTGCATCTAAAAAGTACATAGGTATTTACATGTTCAATTTACTTTCAGAGTAGTCTTATTTCCTTAGTTATACCCAATACATTTAACTTCTTTTTGTAGGGTTAGCTTCTAATTGAGTCTGGTATAACTTGGAGCTAATTTCTAGAATATCTGTTATATTTGTGAAGCTTATTATAAGCTAATTTCCAGAATATATGTTATAATTGTGAAGCTTATCTGTTATAACTTTGTCTGTTTGATGTATGAAGTTACATGTATATGTATGTGTTTATAATTTAAACTAACGAAAACTTAATTAGTTATATAGTATAAGTTTGTCTATTCAATATTTTGTGTTACAGGGATATCAAGCCAGACAACTTATTACTCGATAGATATGGACACTTTAAATTGTCAGATTTTGGACTTTGTAAACCATTAGATTGTAGTACACTTGAAGAAAATGATTTTTCTGTGGGTCAGAATGTGAATGGATCTACACAAAATGAAGAGCGCACAGCTCCCAAACGCTCACAACAAGAACAACTGCTACATTGGCAAATGAACAGGAGGACACTTGTAAGTTCACTGCTATAGTGCTATTATGTTCTGACTTAATTTTATTTGTTATGATTGTACAGACAATTGTAAAACTTGATGCGGTGTTTTCCTTATATGTGGTGAAGTGTTTAAAGTCATATAATAATAAATTGTACATGTCAAACCCCTCTCCACCCACCCAACCCAAAATAAAAATAAAAAACATAAATGACTGCATTTAACTATTGAGGTTATTTGTATGGATAGTGTTCCTCATGTGTTTAAGATAGTGTTCTTTTACATCTTGTGTGTGCTTGTAATTTTTAAATGTATAATCATTGCAGGCTTATTCCACAGTTGGTACACCAGATTATATTGCTCCAGAAGTTCTTTTAAAGAAAGGTTATTATTCCACAGTTGGTACACCAGATTATATTGCTCCAGAAGTTCTTTTAAAGAAAGGTTATGCGATGTTATGTGATTAGTGAGTTTTATGCGTGTGAATGTTGGCATATTATCAAATATCAATTTGTCTTTGCCATAGTGTATGTATATCATAGGATCCAATTTATCTTTTCATTCATTTATAGTGATCCTTTCAATAATTTTCAAGTTTCAACACAGTTTGGCATTCAAATTTCTTACTTCCATTCTTGGGATGCAATTTGGGGTGTTTTCCTTTATTTTTATTATTATTATTATTATTATTATTATTATTATTATTTCCCTTTCAAATGTTCTGAAAACATATTGGATTTTGCTTAATTTATGTGGAGTATGTGAATATTTAAGATCAGGGTTACATATTTTCTTTTTAATGCAATGATTGTTACAAAATTCCCAGGTGGTCACTCGGAGCTATTATGTACGAAATGTTGGTGGGATATCCACCTTTTTATTATTATGATCCGATGTTAACTTGTAGGAAGGTAATCTTTCGAATAGAAATATTTCTTGTGACTAATGCTTGTTTGATATTCACTTTTGTTATTATGATCAATCTCTGCGGGACACTCTTAAAATTTATTTTGACTTTTGCTTTGCATTTATTTTGAACGTTTAACTATAAGCTACTTTTCTGTCTGTCAGTCTGTCTCTTTTTTTGTAGTTTCTATCAAAGTCTATTTTCTAGTATCAAATTGCTTGCTATGTTGCTTACCCTCATTTTGTTCATGTCTTTGGACTGATTTACTTGTTACTGGTCTGAAGGATTTTTGTGAGATCAAATACTAGATCCCTGATAAATAGAGTATTCTGACAAAAATAATCATGATTTTTTTTTAAAAAAAAAATACAATCTACATCGGTTCTCAAGAAAACCGATGTAGATTTAAGCATAAATCTACTTCGGTTCTCCAGAGAACCGATGTAGATTTATGCTTAAATCTACTTCGGTTTTTCAGAACCGATGTAAAAATATATACATTTTTTACGTCACTCTATTCTACATCGGTTTTAGAACCGATGTAGATGCCTTTACAGAACCGATGTAAAATATACATCTTGTAGTAGTGTTTCTTTCTTTCTTATACAAATTTTTACTAATCACATTCAAATTACAAACCAAACAAGATACAAAATAAATCATATTTATTACACAGCGAAATAGAAGTTGTAATCCAAATTCATTTTAGTAATTACCTTCTTTCACTTTATTACCAGATTGCATATATCATATCAGATTTCACAAATTAGCAATCTATAATATTCAAGAAACCATTTTTTTTTTACTTTCTTGAAATTCTTTTTATCAATTCAACATGAGTTATAACAAGATATGAAGGTAAAGAGAAAAATTGCAAAGTGGTCTATACTGGTTTAGCCATATAAAGACCTACATCTAGTTTCAGACTTAGCTCCCCGCTAAATCCAGTTTTTCTACTATAATATTCTTTACAAACACCATGTACAAGCAATATTATAATCAGAAAACACAATCACCTAATCTTGATTTCACAAGATTATACAATCACTAGAATTCTTGCACCTCAAGAATCTACTTGAGAAAACCTATCTCAAGATTTCTCTTTCACTCTTTCTTGAGAAAACCTATTTGCTCTTGAAAATGTTTTTTTATTCCACCCTTTGATCTTTCTAATAAAAAAATATCATCTTACTTTTCCTTTTTCTCATATATCTTTTAGTTTTCAAAAAGAGTTATATTTATAGAGCAAATAAGATTTCATCATTAAAAACTCGTAACAATAGTAATCTATTACTAATAACAAGTAATCTATTACCAGTTTTTAATGAAATTGAAATCTGTTGAAACAAGAACAGGGTTAATTGATTACTGATGTTGGTAATCGATTATCTCGTGTTCTAGGAACCATAGAACTCATTTTTTCAACAAAGGTAATCAATTACCGAAGTTGGTAATCGATGATTATCTTGATGATTTTCCAACTTGTTTCACTCAAAAGTCACCATGGTAATCAACTACATGAATAGGTAATTAATTATCATAGAGAGGATGTTGAATTTCACCTTAAAACTAAGTTTCAGTAATATATTACCTCATATGGTAATCTATTACCTAACTTAATCATGAATTCTTTTGAATGAACTAAGTTCCATTTTATGTCAAAACGCATTGTAATCTCTTACATTATGTTTTCACATGAAATGAGAAACATTAAGTTGAAATATGAGTTTTATGCTTTCTAAAACAAGATGTAATTTTGAAATTAATTCATCAGAATAAGCAAACACATCCAAGCCTAAGTCTAATAACAAGCAATACAATATCCTTTTCAACATAAGCCATGAAATACAAAAATGAATGAAGCAAACTAAACAAAACTATACAAATCTAATGCTAACATCATCGAAACTAAAACTTCTTCAGCCTTCATAAAGATCTTCAAGAGGGACTTCAGTAATTAACTCAACAATTACCATAACTTCAACAATATACTCAACAAATTGGACCATGCATAAGAAAATTCTTAATTTTCTTAATTTCAAGGGCCATTAAGGAGATGTTATGGCTAAGAAGGTTGCACGATGTTTGAGTAATTGGGTTCTAGCTCATTTTTTTAGAGTGACAACTAGCAGCACCTCATCAAACAATCATGGGATTGAAAAATCTAAAAAACAAACAAGGTTTAGGAGTGATTTAGTTTTGAATGGAGATCACCTTCAAATGTGTTGTGCACATAATCTGAATTTGATTGTGATAAATGGTCTAAAATAAATTGATAGATCCATTCTTAAAATTCATGCAATAGTGAAATATATTAAGTCTTTTCCTTCTATGAAACTTAAATTCAATTCATGTATTGCAAGTAGTAACACTGAATAGAAAAAGGTGTTATGTTTGATGTTGAAACCAAGAGAAATTCAACCTATGCTATGTTGAAGACTACATTAAAACTTGAAAAGGAATTTTAAGAACTTAAGATTACAGAAGCAAAGTATCATGAAGAAAGTATCATGAAGAACTTTAAATAGGAATGGTGTGCTTACCTCATTAGATTGGAAGAATGCATGTGAAATCTCAAAAAATTTGTACTTAGGTCTTTGTAACATATATATGGTAGAGGTCTTTTGTAATTAGGTTAACAATCAAACAAATGTGTCAATCCATGAATGCAAACTCAAGCAAGCGAAACAAAGCCAAAAGGATGAAGAAGAAATGTGAAAAATATTGGGGGAGTCCTGAAAGCTTAAATATGTTGCTTTAATTCATCTGGGAAAATGAGTTTAGAAAAATAGAAACAAGTTTGAATGTCATTTTGAAGAGTTTAAAGATGAGGTGTTTAAGCGGTCCCAAGGTGACTCTCAACCAACCCAATTTGTTGGACATGGTAGTGACCCCAACTATTTTTCACTTAGTTTTTGTGATCAAGTGGTGTCAGATTAAGTATTTAGAGGAAGAATTAGAGAGGATGGTCAATGCCTTGACTTTGATATCTTAAGCTAGTGGAAGGTGAAATTTCCTATCCTTGGGAATATTGTAAGAGAGGTGTTAGTTATACCTATCTCCATGGTGTCATCTGAACGTGCCTTTGGTATCGGAGGATGAGTGCAAGATCAATATTGTATTTGCCTTACAACAACTTCTATGGAAGAACTTGTTTGTACATAAGATTGGCTTAATGGATCACCTTCACCATTGTTTTTTGTAAAGGATATTGAAGTGATTCAGAAATTTGAGAAAGGTAAGATAAAAAAGATATATTGAATAATTTGTTATTACTTATTTAATTATGACTTGATAAGAAAGTAATAAGGTGTCTATCCCCCCGAAGACCAAGATGGTTGTGCCAATTCAACCTATGTTACCTTCGTTGATGATTGATAGTTGATGATAGTCGTTCTATTTTATAACTTTCACTTTATCCACCTCTTTGATAGTTAGATGTACTTGTTCATTTTTTTTATCATATGAGCAAATTTCATTGATATTCTTGGTATCAAATTTAGTGTTTCTTGAACTTGATATATTCTCATAACTAATTGAACTTTTTAAGCTCATTCCTTTTTGAAATTTATTTAGTAGTTGTTCTAATTTCTGTCCAAGCTTTACCTTATTCCAGAACTCTTTTAACTTTTCATTTTACTCCTTTAATATCCAACATATGAACATGATTTTCAAGTTCATATAAGTTATATTTTAGTAAGGAAATACATTTAATTGCACTATTTTCTTTAAATTGTGTTATTGCATTACTTTTGATAAATTTAGGTTCTTTTCTAGTTTAGAGTTCATTTCAAGTTAAACTCTAGATTTCCTTATGTACCCAATAAGCCTAATGGAAATCTATCGTTGTCCTTCGAAAGTGTCTTTTCAACACTCCGTACTCACAAGGGCCCAAAAGATAAGAGCCATGGAATCGTTAGAGGAAAGGAATCACATTCTGAATGAAGAGCTCAAATAGCTTAAGGAACAGATGGCACAAATGTGCAATACCATGAACAAGCTGCAACATGATGATAACAGTCTAGTAACGCCAGGGACGTCTCCGAGGATCATCTAAACACCTTGGAGGAAAGATTGAGAGTTGTGGAGGGCCATAGTTTTGATGTTCAAGAGGCTGCGGGTATGTGCTTGGTGCAAGACATCTAATTCCCTACCAAGTTCAAAATTCCTGATTTACAAAAGTACACTAGAACCAGTTGTCCAAAAGGACATCTAACGATGTACCATAGGAAAATGGTTGCTGACATAGGAAACAAAAAGCTCCTGATTCACTATTTTCAGGAGAGCCTTTTGGATGCCGCTCTCAACTGGTACATGCAACTGGACGGAGGGAAGGTCCAGACGTGGAAGCAGCTTGCCGATGCTTTTCTCTAGCGGTACAAGTACAACATCGACCTAATTCCTAATAGGTTTGACCAGTAAAGCTTGAGCAAGAAGGATGATGAGTCCTTCAAAGCTTATGCGCAAAGGTGGAGGGAGTTGGTTGTGCAAGTAGAGCCCTCACTATCTGATAAGGAAATGGTGATAATGTTAATCAACTCCTTAAGTGGGCCTTATTATGAGAAGATGATAGGGAACACTTCGACCCTTTTTGCCGACATAGTCACTATAGGTGAGAGGGTCGAACAAGGACTGAAGAGCGGGAGGATATGGAAGGCTTGGACGAGCTATGACCACAAGAAGCCCTTTGGAAAGAAAAGGGAAGAAAGGGTCAATGCCATCACCATCGCGACCAGCCAGGCCAGAAAGCAGGCCTCGCCACAGGCCGAACTAAAGAAGGAAAGGGTGGTCAATAGGATCCCCACCACCTACACCGAACTATTACCATAGCTTTTGGAAGCCTCAATGCTAGTACGACTTCCACCATTGAAGAGGTTTGACCCTCCTTTCCTCGCATGGTACAGGCCTAAGGACCAATGTGATTATCATTCGGATTCCCCAGGACATTTAGTGGAACACTACAAGGCCCTACAACTTCATGTACAAGGGCTTGTAGATGCTGGGTGGTTGAAGTTTGACACCAACACACCTAATATTGACAAGCAACCACTCCTTAAGCATGAGGACCAGTGACCTTGGAGGTGGTGTTGTTGAAAGGTTGATAAAGTAAGGGACTACTAGAGGGCTGTTTCATTTTTTTTTTGTCATTTCTTTTACCCACGACTACTACCTGAGGTCGTGGGTTCCCACAATAAAAAGACATGTAATGATTTT